CAAAAATAAGCCTTCAAACAGTTTCATCTTTTATCAACGCAATAATAATTTTTTATATTGAAAATGGGAAATTGCACGTCACAATGCTTTGGAAAGCGTAACAAAGGAGGATACACTCTTGGTGGTGGAAATAAAACTGAGGCCGCTTCTTCTCATCCATTGCAGACAGTAAATAAAAATAAAAACGACGACAACAACAACAACAACAATAATGTTAGAAGGGATAGTGCTTCATTACGACAGGAAGCAGCTTTGGCTGCTGAACGGAGAGCTGAACAGGTATAATTTAATTATTTTGTGCTAGTTCCTTGAAAAACATTAAAGAATTCTGAAAAAGTGGACTTGTGTTTGTTTGGGTTAAACGCATTTTTGATTTTATTGGTACATGGAACGAAGAAATGAAATTTTCGGCTTTTTCTACTCGCTGAAAAATTGAATGATTTATTGATTGATTAATTTTTATTTGGTTATTAAATTCAAGGCCAAAACGCGCGGTGTTCAAAAAGGTGGAGGAAAATTGAGTAAACAACTAGAAGAGCAACAAAAATCTGTTAAAAAGGTTGATGAGAAACCGCATGAGGATAATCTTCAGGTATGATCTTTTGAAGTTATTTTCGATAAGAGACTTTATGGATGTTTATTAAAAAAACACGTTTTTTTATTTTAGTGGCGAGTTGATTAAATGGGATATAATTACTCTATATAACAATCTGGCATTTTATTTTATTTATTTATCTGAATTTGCTTTTGAATTTGCTTTTCTTCTTTCTTAATCATAATTTGTATATAGTAATAGCATACATGTGTAATAATACATAATATAATAATTAATAAAGTCGACGAGACAGGGACCTGCAAAATTTTGCAAATGCGAAAAATGCAAATTTATAAAAAAATTGAAGGAAAAAAGTAATTTTTCAACTCTTATTATATTTTGCATATTCTTGTTGGACGTTGGCCAAATCAAAGTCACATGATTCGATTTTAATTTTAATGTTGGCCAAATTAATGCTAGAATGCTATGTATGATTTTTATAGAAATCTATCACGTGACACAAATTCTTCCATCAAAAAAACTTGATCATCAACATCAAGAAATCTATTATCTATTCGAGCAAAAGAACCCGCTCGTTCGCTAATGTAAAAAAAGGACGCTCGTTTAGTTTTTTTTAAATCCTACTCTTATCGAATTTTCCAAACAAAGTAAACACTTAATAAACTAAAATGTTTTATAGTAAATTGTTATACTACAGTTACGGCGGGTCACTATTCACTATATTTGTGATTGTTATATTTATTTTGCTAATTACTGGAAGATTAAATATTGGGGATTGGCTATTACAAATAACTCCTTATGCTTTTGCATTGATTGGGATAGCGTTGTGCATTGGGCTGAGTGTTGTGGGTGCTGCATGGTTTGTATAGCCCTTAAAAATAATATAGAGAGTGTGCTTATACTGGTTATTCACTACTACCATTATTATAGATAATGCTTTAGGTTAAGAGTTAAAAAAAAATGATATGGAATTATTTGAATAATTTATGTAAAGTTATTTGAGTTAAATGAAAGATCAAATTTCGAAATGATTTTCTTGTAATTTATTAATTATTTTTCTCGATCTTATTTTTTAACAAAAATATTTTGAATTCTTTTCAGGGGAATATTCATCACTGGTTCTACTATTCTTGGTGCTGCAGTAAAAGCGCCTCGCATCAGAACGAAAAATTTAATTAGGTATGAATTAAATTAAAGCTTTTGAATCACGATTAATCTTTTGTAGTTGTTTCTTACTGATTCTATTATTATTTTTGTATTGCGACACGAAAATATCGATTGTTGGATTGCTGTATATATAATACACAAATGAACTTGCTTCCAATAGTATAATTTTCTGTGAAGTTGTGGCCATCTATGGCGTGATAATGGCAATCGTATTTTCAGCAAAACTGCAGTATGTAGCAGGAGAGGATGTATATTCTAAGGCTAATCATTATACCGGTAATTAATCTTATTGCCATGATTTTTATCTCTCTCACACACACAAAATAAAAATTTATCTATTCATAAAAATAAAAAACAGGATACTCTCTATTCTGGGCCGGTCTAACAGTTGGATTCTGTAACCTATTCTGTGGCATAGCAGTCGGCATAACAGGCAGCAGCGCCGCACTGGCAGACGCACAAGACCAGACCTTATTCGTAAAGATTCTCGTGGTTGAAATCTTTGGGAGTGTGTTAGGGTTATTTGGATTGATTGTGGGATTATTACAGGTATTTGATTCGATTCGAGCTGATTTGATTGTTTCTTCTTGTATATTTCTATAATTAAAATTGATTTTTTTTTATTTTAGTCTGGAAAAGCTGGTGATTTCTCGAGTTAGTATTTTGCGAAATCTTAGATAGTAGAGAATTATATATTTCCGGTCGGTATATATCTTTTGTATTAATAAATAAATTTGTACGATTTTTCATTATTTTTTTTTATTGTTGATTTAAGATTTCACGGATGTTACAAAAGCTAGAATATATTTAATATTTATTGTCTACTTAATCCGTTGACTTTATTTATAAAGAAAAACGAGTATTGTGTAAATATAGATGATAGCAAAAAAAAAACTAGCTTTTGAACAACAATAATATCGCGTGGTAATAAAGTTGATTTTACATGTTGCTGTGCTCTTTCTTCTTACATATACAAAACAAATATGATCGAGATGAATAAAAACAAATAAATACACGAAAATAGAGGAGGGAAAAAGAGAAACATTATGCATGGAAGAAAAAACGTCAAAATGATGAAGCTTTTGCGTAATATGCGTCATCACACCACTAAAAGGTCGAACTAATGGCGTCAACAAGCGCCATATCGGATTCGTGTAATCCCAAGATCGAACATAAATCAATTGGTTGCGTGTCTTTTGTGGACGGGACTTGATAAATCTGTGGGGTTTTTGACGCTGTGCGGATATTGAGCAACAGTTTTTTGTACATTAACGACTTTAGGTATAGTATCCGAAGTTGGTCTTCCAAGTAATCAAGGCACTAAGTTATTCGAGTTTATTTGAATGAATGATTGATTGATTAATACGATGGATAACAACGGTGTGTAAAAAATAACATGATAAACAGCCGTAATACTATATAGATACTTGCCGAATCAGCTGGCATATTCATTTTCACGAACAAATTTTTGCATTCACGTAGTAACGTATAAACATAATTAGACATTTGAGGTCGATGACAAATCATTGGTCCGTCCCGAATCTGGTCTCCCTCGATGCTAACTCTCCTAGTTGATGACGATGATTGATTTGGAACCGTTGAATTCGGATGGTGATTAGGATGATTGTAAGCTTCGTAGCCAAGTACGGTACAATTCCTATATTTTTTTTGTTTTGTTTTCCACTTATTAATAATAATGCGCTTAAAAAATTTACAATATTATAACATAGTTACAGGTTATTGAGGTTTCCTAATATACAAAAAGATCGTGTCACCGGTTCGTCTGGCAATGAAAATTGCTAATAATTATAAATAAAATGATACACATAAATTCATGGTATTATATATAGTGACAATAAACATTGTAATTATATCGTAATTAATAATACCTGCACGGAATCTTTTAAATCAGTTTCCAATAAATCTTGAAAATCGAAACGCGGTAATCCCATCAGCACAAAATCCGACATATAAGAATCGCACAAGCCAACCATCAACGAACGACCATAAGACTTTACGTATAATTCGTCTGCACGATATGAATAGGGTTTTGCTGTGGTGGTTGTCGTCTTAGTGGACTTATTGCCATTTGTTGAACTTTGTTTTGTGTGTAATGATGATGATGAGTCGGGAATAGTTGCGGAAACTTGTGACCTTGTAGGAAAGGCAATGTACAGGTTAGACATAATTAATTCAATTCAAATAACACGAGGGGATGCAAGAACATGTACTTTGGCATCGGTACATCCATGAACTGATCCATACAAAGATCTACAGCTTGAGAATCTAATAATGCACTAGTTCTTTTGCTAATTTTTGATGCTTGTTGCTTTCGTTGCCTGATGTTTTCATTTGATTTGATATTATCGTTACTTATACTACTATTATGATTTATGTGTGTCTTTGCGGATGTTTTATTTTCGATGGGTGACACATTTGATGAGCTAGTGTTTATTGTTGATATCGATTTTCTTGAAAACTCTGATTTTTCTTGACTATCACCGTTCTGCGCCGCAGTAATGGATTGATAACCGCTTGTGTTTGCACACAAAGTTTCAGATGATGATTTACTTCCAACCACATTATTTAATTTTTCTTGATTTGGTAATGATGCAGTGGTTGTAGTCAAATTGTTCTTGCTATTTTCATTATTATCATTATTAATTTTCGAAACGGCAACTGGTGGAGATGACGATGCTGATATTGATGATGATGATGATGATGGTGAAGGTGATGACACCATCTGCTCCATATTCTCAAATACCTCGTTACACCGAATAAAGTAACTAAGTACATATATTATTCGCCGAACTGTGTTTACATCCGAGCCTACAATAATGGTTCGACTCATTATTGAGGGGCCGATGTTTCCGTAAAGATCGCTGGATTTTTTAGTTGAAAATGAATTAATTACGAATGCAATGTAGAGGTGCCACGTAAGGATAAAGCGTTTATGAGGATAATGAAAGTATATTAATAATGAAATCAAAAATTATTTGCAGCAACTATCTTATCAAACAACATTTCCGCGAGATCAAACACAGATAGCAAAATATAATTATTAATATACCTAAGTTGAGCCCATAATGGATCGTACGACAAGTTTTTGGAGTTCTAGATATTGAATATTATCTGTTAATATTACACTCAACACATTAAATAAAGTATAAATGACCCATCACAACTACTTCGTTTTACTACTACTTCTACACAAAACGTACTCTATCCTCAAAATCTGCATTAGGTGCAACTGTCGGAACCCAAGATAGGTGATACATTAAGACAGTGGTGATCAATGTCGATATGAAGCTTTATATAATAAGGTACCATGTATTGATAGAAAAGAAGAAATATTAATGATTAAAAAAAAATAATTGTTAAGGGATATTCACGTATATATAAGAACCAATTCTAGTCCCTCCCTTCACCACAAAACCAATGTGACAAACATCCAAAGAAAAGGATACAAATTCGTCTTCCTATCATCGAAATTATCCAACAGATAAGACAACTCCATTAATAAGCTTTTTGCCAGGTTGCTTTTTCGAGTGGGAAATGTCGAAATATTCAACCATAACGGCTCCTTATGTGCAACAATTTATTTGATGAAATTTGATGAAACTTGATTTTGTGATTGATTTATAGATTTATGAATTTGATTTGACCAGTGCTTGATTGCACCCTGCAAACACACATTCACAAATCAATCTTTCACATTCACGCACACACGCTCACAGATCAGTCAGTTACTCGCGAGCAAAGTGTGAGCATTATTAATAGTAATAGTAGCATATGTATGTATATATGCATTATAGAGAAAAACGCGTTTTTTTTTGATACCTGGATACGTGGTGTGCTATACAATTGACACACAGAATTCTTGAAACGCGTAACCGCCTCTATTAAGAGTGGCTCACTTTGTAGCATTAGCGACGATAAGTATGGTGTGGCATATCGTTGACGGTGGTTTGGCGGGCTAAATATCTTCGTGAATAACAAAAATAAAAAATATATGAACGAGCATGTACTTAATTATAGATAAATACCCGAATTAGTATTGATAATTTTACTATACCGAATTAGGCCCACTTATCGAAAATTGCTGAGGCGCCTTTCGTAATGAACAACACAATAACTTAAAGGCCACTTGTTGAAGTTGATGTAGTCTGTTTTCCAGTAATGCGAAATGTGAGAATAGAAACTCCTCTAGGAGTTCGTTGTCTTCCAAGCTTATCACGACTCCCACAGCGTACATAATAGAGCGTGATGTATGCTTCAAGCTTAACTGAAGAATCATATCAAAAAAAAATAAATATATATATATTAAATATAATTTAAAATAAAATGCTTTTATAAAATACTAAAACTTACATTCGCTGAATCAGTACGCGACAAACTCCCGGGCAATGGAGTCGGATTGAACACACCATTTTCCATACTAGTTTGACTAAACCGTCTTATCCTACGATTAGTAAATGTGTTTCGAGGCGACGTCGAAAGCGACGAAGTAGTTGACGATATAGAGATCCCGCTCGTACGTAGTCCTAGTATCGGCGGACCCGGATGAAAAATTGACGGTGGAGACGAGTAGATGGGTAATCGAAGCGATTCGTCGTCACTCGATTCAGAGTATGGTTCTTCGGTGTAGAAAATAGAATTTGGTCTTGATGACGATGATGATGATGATGGAGGATTTTGATATTGGTTTTGATGTGTACCACTCCCACAACCGACACGCGCATCATTATTATTATTGCTGTTATTGTTGCTGGTGTTATTGTTGTTTATTGTCGTGCCTGAAGATGTGATTGACGCATCGCTGCTCACAGATGAGAAGGAGCTACGTCGTGCGGGCGAATAATGCTCCAAGTCGTTCGTATTTATAGAAAATAACTTTGTCAGAAGAATTTGTGGCTTTGGCGATTTCATGTAGTGGATTTTGGTAGTCATTCCTTTGTATGATAATGGAACAGCACCAAACATCATCTCGCCGATTAGATCGATGTTGTGAGACGCCTTTTGAATTGAAATAAATTTAATTGTATAATAAAATAATACGAATGAATAAATGTTAGTTTCTAACAATGAGTATGAATAAATATGAATGTGAATAAATATTTAAAATGATATTTTTTCTTTTAGATTTTTTATCATTCTAATACACGGAATAATACACTCTCTCTTCACCTTTTTCGAGGTTATTGCTCTCTCATCCACCACTAATCAAACAATGGAGGGAGGAAAAGGAAGGAGTAAAGGGATCGGATTAATGAATTATATAACGTCTTATTGCAAAGAAGATGAAATTTAAGAGAAGGACTAGCGATGAATGAGTAACAACATTGATGAATATGAATTAAAAATGCATCAAGTGTTTTTATGTAATTTAAATAAGAATTAAAAAAAAGTTTCGGGTATCATTATAAAGACCATAACAAATCCATTCCCACTCATGCTCATTGTATCTTATTATAGATATCAGTGGTAGTGATAGAAGAGAACCCACGTTTTATAAACAAATCCTCAAAATCAAACAATTAGCAACACCAACCTTTCTTTGCATAACCAGCATGTTGTTATTACGATTAAGCGATGGCGGAAGAGTACGCACACTAGATTTATTATTAGCGTTGCTATTTGAATCAAAACTACGTCTTTTTCCCTCGATAAAATTGTTACTATCACCATGGTGATTATGATTTGAATGTGGATGATGCGTATGATGGTTAGAGTGATGATGACTATTTTGATTGCTAATAGATGCAGAATTAATAGGATGATGAATAGTATTAGCATTACTCGCGATATTAATCGCACGAGTTTTGGATGACACCGATGGCGACTGATTCGACGACGAGGACGAAGTCAAAAAACCACCACTCAGAAACCCGACACCACTCCACGATGACGAGAATCCTACGGTGCGTTCTTCGGGCGAGCTTGGGCCTAGCGAATACGCCGAGTCGAATAGGGTTAATTTGGTTTTGTCACCTGTGTCTTGGCATAGGATCACGCGGATTTGTGAGGGATTGAAGGCTGGCGATGACCAGCTGATTGTTGTTTGAAGAACGATGTATATAATGGTGAAGGGAAATCGGATCGAATAGAATGTGATGGATAGATAGGAGGAAAAAAAGAGACACAAAGAACGTCGGTATGTATATAGTATATGTTTGCGTGTTTTTTTATTGTGGGTTTTTAGGTTTTCATGGGAGCATACATCATTTTTTTTCTTTTCGATTGTCATTCGTCACTTGCCGATTCAACAATTACAGCATTCACCTCTTCTATACAATAATATCAAGACATGTGTGAACCATATGTACTATACCATATAACCCTTCACGCTCCACTTTGATATTCACGCATCGATTTTATTATTCTATAAGTTATAGGTTTCCCCTATTCATTTTCTACAATGATCCTCCCGAGACAGACATACATATTGATTTAAATTCAAAAAATCACCATTCCCTAACTATAATTGCCGACGGAAATTCCATTTTTCTTTTTTTGCTCTCAACCCACACATCATTACACGTAACATTACCAGCAGAAATACACTAGATGTGAGATACGTACGGCTCAGCTTTCAAAAGAGCTTGTGTATGTTTAGCATCTTCGACATCTTTAACAACGGATTTTGTACGAAATAGCTTTTGCAACATGTTCTCTATTGGAATACACGCTTTTTAGCTCGTTTGTCACGAAAATTCAAGAATTTAAGAAGGCCTCAGGTATCCTAAGGTAAAGGGCAATGAAGAGGAATGGCAGGAAAAGTCGAAATAAAAAAAACCCAGTCGATAAGAAATTTTATTTTTCGCGATGTGCAGTACGTCAAAATGAAAATATTTTGATTAGATTATTTATTATTGTGATTGACGACCGACATGCGACATTGATTGGTGTAACGGATAATAGCGACATTAAAGAAAACATCATCAATGATCAATCAACATCGTGACCAAAATAGAAATTCAATAAATCCATCCCAACAATGACAATGATTAAAATTTCATTTCGTAACATTTCGTATCGTATTATCTAATATATCTCGTGTCACGCGAATACCCCGGAAATATATTCTGTTTGAAGTAGAAAAACGACATACGTGCAGATATGCACGGTCAACAGCTACATGGTATCGATATATAGCAATCATTGAAAAAGCGTGTACAGAATAATAGATCGCATAGATGCGGGATGTCACGAACGCATAAAAAATGCATGTACATATTACCTATGTATGATGCATGCAGTTTTTTTTGATATTATTAACTAAATGTTACAGCGTGGTCATTAAAAAAATCAGAGATTCTTTTTTAATAATCAGATCAAAACAAAAAATCATGCAGGCGTGTCCGCTTTCACGTGATAATAACCTCACCCCATCCTAAAAACGGTTGTCAAAAGAAAAGAGATATAGTATAATCTAGAGATAAGTATAGAGATAATAAATTACTAAGTTTACTAAATTTTTAGCTTATTAGTAATATCGTTATCTTAAAAAAAAATACAATAGCTATCCTTTAATAGATGATGAGTTATAAACACGAAAATGAAAAATATCATGATAATTTTCTTTATATTACATTATTTTTTTATATACGTAGCATAAAGTTATCACACCAGAAACAATTTTAAATTAATTATATATTATAGTTTTATTTTAGCTTAAATAAACATATAAAAATAAATCTAAAAAATTTAACATTAAAGTGAAAACAGTCAAAGCTAATTCAAAACTCTTTTTATTAAATAATTTTAAATCTGAAGCCTAATTTGATATAATGGAATTTAAAAAAGTTTTAATCAAAATAACTAGTTAAACTTTCTTTAAAATAATTTCAAATAAATATTTTCGTTTGGCATTCAAATTTGAACATTAAATAATTTAAAAGATAGTTTACAATTTTAATAATTAAAAAATATTTTTCAAATAGTTTTTTATATGATTTTTTATAATTCACTATCTGGCATTTCAAAAAAAAAATAATAAGAATATCAAATTTACGAGTAAAAATATATTAATGTTTAATGAAATTTAATTTTTAATATAAAATCTTATATTATATTTAAAAATTAATATAATTAACTAATCTTTTTTTAAGATAAATATTTGCATAAATAAATAATTTATTTAATATTACTGTATATTTATCAATTTTATTTATTAATATTTTTAATTAGTATTATATAAAAATTATTTAAATTTAGAATTAATATATAAATTTTATCAATAAAATTCGTTTTTATATCTTATATATTCAAGAAAAATATAAATATAATTTTAAAAAGTTTTTATAATAAAAAAATATATATTTTTAAATTTTTAATACTATATCTTTATCATATTTATATTTTTATTCTTTTATAATATTTTTCTAAATATAATTCAAGAAAAACATAAATAAAATATATTAAATCTAGAATATTTTATAATAAATTATATTTTTATATAAATTATTTTGAGTAATATAATTTTAAAAATTTTTAATTTGAAATTTAGTTTATATTATTTAAAATTTAAAATATATTAACAAAAAAAAATATTTAAAAAATAAAAGCTTTAATTTTTTATTAAATTTTTTTATTAAATTAATTTTTATACTTATTTAAATACTAATTTTTTATTTATTTAAAATTAAGATTAAATGTATTAGAAAAATATAAAATATTAAAATATAAATATAAAAAATATTAAATAATATTACAAAAAATAAAAAAAATTTATATTCAATTTTAATATTAAGAAATATTTTTTTATTAATAAATTAAAATATATTTTATTTTGAATTTTTTATAAAAATTTAATATAAAATTATTTTAATTATTAAAATAACTAAAATAATTTATTTTTTAAAAATTTAAAGTTTTGAATTTTAAAATAAGATATTAATTATTTTATTTAAAAATTAAAAATTAATATTCTCTTTTTTTTATAAATAATTATATAAAAAAAATTTTCATATTTATTATTCTTGAAAATACAAAATTAAATTATAAAAAAATATAATTATATTTAGATAGATTTTTTAAGAAAATTTAAAATTAAAAGCAAATTATTATATTATATATTTATATTTATCAAAAAAAATTCTTAATATAAAAATTCTTAATTATATAAAATTGATTTTATTAATAAATTAATATTTTTTAATTTTAATTATTATAATTATAATATAAGCAATTATTAATAAAAAATTAAAAAATTAACTTTTTTCAAATTGAATTCTTATATTTAATTAATAAATATAATATTTTAAATATTTTTAAGTTTTAATATATTTATATATTAATTATATGAAATATAAAAGATAAAATAATTAAATATTATAAAATTTAATTTTTTTGAATCTGTTTAAATTTTATTAATAATTATTATATAAATAATTTATAAATATTTTATATAAAGATTTAGAATTTTGGTTTGATATATAAAATTAATAAAATCGAATATAATTTCATTTTTAATAAATTAATTTTTCAATTTACAAAATAAGTAAAATAATCAATTATAATATCAAAAATACTAAAGAAAAAGTGATTAAATAATAATTTCATTAGAAAGGGACAGATTTGAATAAAGATCTCTTTCTTTAATTAGTAAGAAATATGAAATATCACGAATAAATTATTAAAATTTTGTATAGTAAAATATCAAATAATGTATATATGAAACTTAAGCACATAAAAATAATAAAAATTAAAATTTTTAACTAGATAAGAAATAATTTCTTAATAAAATTCATATATTAAACTGTCAAATAGCGAAGGTTCTTTTTTGCTAGTTTAAAACAACCTATGGTTTCTAAAATTGTTGGAGCACTTTGGAAGCAAGCTACTAAAGAAGAAAAAAATCATATAAGGAATTAGCTGAGGAGCTAAAACAATTACATAATCTCTTTCTGCTAAAAATTTTGTTTCTTTCTCATAGTTTTTTATATTTCAATAACTTTATCTGAAAATTCTATTTTATAAATTACAATGCTCGTAGATGTTTAAAGATTATCCCGGTATATCATGTGATATACAAATTGGATAAAATCCCGTGGTTAAGTTTGTTAATTCAAAAAAATGGCTTCGCAAACACCACAGCTAAAAGTTCAAACACCAGCAAAACTTGACGATAAACCGGGAAAATTAGGACTTTCTACTAACAAAAAACTCTTTTGGAAAGAGGAAGGCAAAAAAACATCCATAACTGTTTCATTATACGACATTCATAGTATGAGGATTTTCCTTGCTCGCGTTATAATCTTGCATTTTCTCCGCTAAAATCGTTCGTTGTTGTCTTGATCCAATTCTTACTAAAAAACTAATGCTCGTTTCTTTTCGAACGAATGCTTAAATTTACATAGAATTATTTGTCTCAAAACCCGACAAACTTCCACAAAAGCTAAAAATATTTTATCCAGACAAAAGTCCAGACAAAAAATCACAAGAAATCACGCTAATTTTCGAATTAACTGCCAAGAACGCCAAAATTGAACTAGAAAAAATCAAAGAGGATTGGGTGGCTGTACAACAACAGCCCAAAAATACTGCTAATGCTTCTAACGCTGTTAGTACGTCTTCGGCACCTTCACCAGCTTCTGGCGCGTCAACGCCTAGCCGAATAAGAAAAGCTCCACCACCTTTATCTGCTGAAGATATCGAACAGCGAAAAAAATTATTGGAAGGAAATGAAGATCTACGGTTTTTGCATAAGGAAATGGTGTTTAATGGGCCGATACCTGAAGAGGATTTCTGGGAACAGCGGCAAGTAAGATTATTAACCTATGGTTTTTATTATCATGTGTATTCGTGTGATAATTTATTATTTCTCCTAATTTTATATATCTAGCATTTATTACGAGATCAGAAGGCGAAGGACGAACAAAAGAAAGGAAGACCTTCAAAGATCCCGGATCTGCAAACAACAACAGAAGAAGGTGGCGAAGTGAAAATCACAATAAACTCTTCAATAATTAATAGTATCTTCGAGCAGTATCCTTCCGTGCATAGGGCTTACATGGAGAAAGTACCAGATGTGATTTCTGAATCGGAATTTTGGAAGCGATATTATGGCTCCAAATTTTTTCATCGAAATCGATCTGGTAAAAATCAAACTAAAGACGATATATTTGATGCTCTTTATCAAGAAGATGAAGAAGGTATAAGATGATAGTCATGGTGGATGAATGGTTACTTTGAAAAAATCGGTTTTTCGATAAGATTCAATTGTGTATGCGAAATGTTTTTTTGTCATGTTTTCATTTAGAGTTGATACATGGCCCAAAAAGATTAAAGACGGGTAATGCTCATGTTCCTACGTTAATTGATCTTTCTTTGACGGAGGAAGATCATATCGAGGTAAAGAAAATAACTTGATAATTATTATTTAAATAAAATTCAAAAAATTCATTCTAAATCTTTAATCCACAAGACAGGAAATTCGCCTGATTTAACAATGCGACCGGGACAAGCCAAAAATCTGCCCATTCTTCGACGATTCAATCGTCATGGAGCGCGCGTCCTCAAATCTATAAAGTACGCTTCCTCAATCCTCTAATCTCAGGATCTATTTTAATATATAACGTGAATTCGAATTAGTTTGTTTTTTATTCAGAGCGTCGAATTCAGGGAAATCAAAAACCGAAGACTACAAGAACGACATAGTTATTGAAGAGTTATATCAACCAAAGACAGCGGAAAGGGTTCTGCTAGATATCAAAGATCAGACAAAATATTTCCAAACCTATGAAAAGACTATTCAGAATTCTAATGGGACTGAAAGTAATCGGGTTGAGGTAATGATTTTTTTGATATTATTCCCAAGATTTTTAAATGTTTATTTAATAATTTTATCAAATCAACAGGTTTCAACAAATGCTGTTAAATCATTAAGTAATAAAATGAAATCTTGGAGACCAGATTTAAGAAATGTAGGTGTTGTCGAGTTTCTTTTTTGCTGTCTATTAGTAAAATTACCAATTCAATTCATTAATTAATTTTCAATTAATTGATTTATGATCTTAATATTCAGCTTTCCTTTGACGCGCAAAATGCAGCACAAGTAACTACAATTTTGAATGAAAAAATCAAAGCAAAAAATGAAGAAAATGCACGGGCTATGGAAATCAGTAAATTTTATTGTTAATTTTTTTTTAGGATTATTTTAATCATTTCATTACATGCTGGAATGATGCGTTTGGATCATCACAAATATAGGGTCACAAAAATTACCGTCCGAACTCGAGGTCGAGATAAAAAAAATATACTCGACTGGCAAAGAATTTCTCAGACATTATTGGTCGGCGGCGGTTGGAGACAAAAATAATATAGTTAATACTGGAAAACGCGAAAAAATGTATCAACAGATACAAAAGACACTTGAGAAATTGCAAGAACTTACGGATCAAGCAGCAGCAACAGAAGATGAAGATGATGCAAGTCAAGTTGAGAATGTATGTGATTTTAGTTGATATTAGAATATATACTAACATTTTTTCATATTATATTAGATGCTAATATCAACAAAAATCGCTTTGCAACACGCGGTTAAAGATTACGAGAGAAGTCAAGGAATTGGAGAAGGAGGTTCAATTGGTGGTGTTGGTAGTAATCAGAAATTGTTACCCTATCAATTAAACTAATATGCCAAACAATAAAAATTATAAAAAATACTATTCTTGCGGTATAATAAATACGAAGACCAAAAGAATTAACAACAATAATAAAAATAATGATGAATGTGATCTTTAATTGAATTTGGTCTAGGTGCAGTCAGCCAATCAGCGATGAGATTTAGAAAATAAAGTGCCCGGGTCGAAATCACATGACCCGGCACTTTTTGCCGTGACTGTTCATTTAACAATGTCCAAAGTTGAAGAACTTCACAAAAGAAAATCAAAATTACAAATAGCCGGTACTGCATGCTCAAACTGTCGCAAAACGTCTAAAGAAGCCGGAGTAAAAATCTTATTACGTTGTACACGATGTCGCATGTCGTATTATTGTTCAAAGAATTGTCAAAAAGCTGATTTTCCAGGTCACAAACAATTCTGTCAAGCGCTTTGCGAACTTTCAGCCAAAGAAGAAGCTTGGAAACTTTGTGACGGCGACGAAACAGAATGGAATAAACGCGTAATTGAACATATGCATTTACTCGATGAGGCACTCGACCGTCCACTTACAGACTACGAAAAGAATTCGTTACTCTACCAACCAAAGTGTCAAGTATGTCTCATAAGCGCCGTGGAATTGAAATCACCCCAGAAATTAATTCCATGTTTGTCTTGTATGATTATTTCGTGTTGTTCGGAAGCGCACTGGAAAATACATCGACCAAAGCATCAAAAATTATGCCAGACTTATAAAAATATGATTGAATGTGAAAATGTAATTTATAAGTTGATGGGTGAGACCGCGTGGGCACAAGAAGAATGGGACGAGAGTCGAACGTTTCCACCACTCCCGAAAGATTGGCAAACGTATTTCGAGTGGCGCAATGCGCCGAAATTTTCTGAATCGTTTTTGAGTGTTGTTACGAATTCGTTATCCCCACCTTTGACTATTCTTGCGGCAATTGAACGGTTCTATACAAGAGATGAATTACACGCGTTAGATGAATTAATAATTCATTTGATTGGAGCATCGCAATATGAGATTATGTCGTTGTCTTCTTTCGAGGAAATAATGCACGTATTACCAAACGTCAAAGTGCTTCGTCTAATACTGGTAGGCTTAGAATTACCAAACAAAACAACTCCTGCCGGAATCAGCATGAAATGCTGTTCCCGATGCGAAAAAGAGAATCGGAAACGTATATGCGCGTTATTTCCCACTTCTTATCACGAACATGCCGAGCAACCGGACGATTATATCAAACCTCATATCGCTGTTGGCTTCAATACAGGCCTATACGAGACAGACACTGAACATTGGGAACCCACCGTTAAATATCTACTAGATAAGGATACTCCTTGTGTGTTTACGTCTTATTCGAAAGAAGAGGCGGCGCAAGATTTACAAGCGTTGAAGGATTGGGGCGCGAAAATTATTAGTGGGAATAAAGAAAATAAATGGAAGAGTATTGTGCCATTGATTGAACCGCAAGTTTTGGATAAATTCTTTTATAATAACTATTATAGAACACTGTTTCGGGGGAACGCGTCCTAATTTTGTATATGTATGTGATTTTCATAGAACATAGATTTACAAAAATTAATCGGAGACTCAAATATTATTATATATAATATTGCCAAATAATATTTAATTAACGGGAACAACAGCATCGGGATGCTAATTTTGACTTTCTTCCTTCCGGAACTTGATTTTTGCCAGATCATCAACCCAAACACCTTCAACCCTTTGATCCTCCCGGGCATTATCAATTACTGTATACGTATTCACATGTTTTAGCAACACTTGTACCGTGGGCGGATCTAAATTATAGTGTGTGGCTAATTTCTCTGTCGTCCATTCTTGAGGGGCCGATTTTCTATTTTCGAATAACTGACGAATATCTTGGATCGTTAGACGATTCCGGCCAATTTGTGTACCGTCACTTCCCTCTTGTTCTTTGATTGCTTTTCGGTGGTTTAGAATTAATCGCATATTGTCATACTTTTCGAAGACATAAAATCAGTAAATGATGAAAGTGATAGAATTTCACCGACGACTTCTTTTTTACCTGCTTATATTGTATGTTGGTATTTGGCACCGTTACTTGTCCAATAGAAGAAAGTTTCTGTAGTAAATGCGGATCTTTTCCATCATCTTCAATAGCTATTTGATCACATAAATTCATAACTCACAAAGAACGGTCAAAATCCAAAATCAGCCAAACAAATTTTCACCTTGATCACGTGTCATGCTAGCCAAGGGAGCGGTTCTTTTTGTTTCCTTTATTATCTGTGGGTCATTATTTATTTTGGCGTGCGTTTCTGATGCACTTGATTTTACATTAGTTGCTACTTTTTCGGGAAATTTCTTGGTTGCCATTTGTTTAGAAATTACTCCACCCATTTTCGCAAAATATCCAAAAAAAGTTATTGTTTCCCGATTTGTCAATAAAGATATCTTTGTATGTGTAACATCTAGAAATCTTTTTTAATAGATCAATCTTTTAATATAGTCTGTCGCATAATTTTTTCGTTCGCTTTTAGAAATGACAACAACTTCTAGTATTATTACAAACACATCAAAAAAAAACGAGAGTAGTGGTGTCTGGGATACAAAACTTCAACAATTTCACGGAGGACAAGATTGGAAGTTTTTAGAAAACTTTGTTGAAGATTTTTCTGTAACTACAAATGCTCTTGGGACTCCGAAAGATGCGTTAGAAGCTGCTAGAGAATCGGTTAGTAATAAATTATATTTTCTTTTTTTAATTAAATAATTGGCATCTATTACTTATTTTATTATTCGTTCGAGTATAGATTTACACTTGTCATCATTATCCTCCAGCCGACCAAGAACCAGCCAAAACATCTCTTGCACAGTTCCTTTGGCCACATGACCACGTAAATCACCACAAAAAACTACTACTAGGAAACGGCGCAAGTGAATTGATAGATTTGGTCATAAGATCTGCGGCACCTCATGGTTCATGGAAACCTGGACCATGGGATGTTCAAGTGAGAATATATAAATAAAACAACTAATTGAGTTATTGATTGAATGTATGCTAGTTTTTAAATTACCTTCGGGAACATCATTTAACACATACGTTAATTTTCATACCGTAAAATTTCATGCTGTAGTACAAAGAGTATCAACGCGCAGCAGAAACTAATGGTCAAAAGATTTTAAGTGGACAAGAAGATAGTAAAGCAAGTCTTGTGTGTATTGTCAATCCGTGTAATCCGACGGGCGATTATTTTGTGTTGGAGGAGTTGAAGCAGTGGATTGAAGCGAATATAGAAGACGGCGGCGTCGTGATTGTTGGTACATGTTTGATTTATTCGATCTTTCTGATCATTATTTATGCATTAATATGTGACGCGTCACCTACCTTCTTTCTCCACTAGACGAATCAATGCAACCATGGCTATCACATGACTTTCGATCAGACTCATTAACATCCCAACACGAGTATCTCGAATCTCTATATGTGACCCGAAAAGTTTCCCTGTATGTAATTCATTCATGGACAAAATTTTGGTCGTGTACCGGTTTACGACTCGGCTCGGTAGTATGTCCAACCACGAACCACTGTGACGCGTTAAAACGTCTACAAGTTCCGTGGAGTGTTAATTCACCAGCACTGGCGTTCTTGCACGCTGTAGTAAAAGATGACGCGTACATGGAAAGAACATGGCAAGTGACACCAGTGTGGCGTAGCGCGTTAATTGAGCGTTTAAAGAATTTATTGGAGATTTTTATGAAGAGACAAAATAAAAATGCAAGTGGAGTCGAGGACGACGGTGACAAATCGCTAGAATGGAAATTTTATGGAAAACCGTTTTTATCGTGGGTTTGGGTGGATCTAAAGTCTCAAAAATTGGCACAAGAAGCAGTCGCGCTTGCAAAAGCTGCGGGTGTGCCGGTGAGGAGTGGGCAGCCGGGATACGGGAGACCGACTTTCGTGAGGATTGCTGTGAGGGAACCGGAGAAAGTCGACATTTTGATTACGGCTTGGGAGAAGTTAGGATTCAATTAATTATTTAGTCTTTAACTAATTTTTAGTGTTGTAGATTTAAAAGTTTTATTCATTTATTTATTTATTTAATGATTTTTTCATTCGCATTGAACTTATCAATATTGATAGACATAATAAATTATCATTTATTCAGAATAAAAAATCACGGTTAATACTATATTTACCATGTAAAATATTTGGGTACGGTTCATTCTACTCTTGAATCGTACCTCGGGTAAGAAAGAGGGTACGGTATCATGGAGGGATGGTCACGATACCATAATATGAGTAACGTGTTTCACTGATTTGCTCGCACAACATCTAATAATGTAAAACGTTATAGGAATAGTAATAACAAAATACGCTATAAAAAATAATTCATTGTTTAACTTGCCCCTTCATATCAAATCAAAACAAAAGATATTGTAAAAATTCAAACACATGAATTTAGAAAATATAATACACCCTGGATACCAATCAATTTTGATCATCCTTTCCCTACCCTGTAAAATACGGTATTACAATTGAACGTCGCGTCGTTATTCGCGATTAAAGTATTCTTTTGAATTCAGCTTATACGCAACAATATTACTATTAATAGTGCCAATAATATTATTAAAGAATACTAAATAGCAAAATAATAATAATGTCATTTACAAACTACACTGATACACATCGCCTATTTCTTCAAGCTTGCATCGCAGAACGGCTTTTTCTTCAAAGTACTGGGCTTGATATGTTTAAGCGTGCTTGCGAAGCTACAAATGGTATACTTCTTAGTTTATTCTATAAAAATTGTCAATGTAAAGTGATGGAAAAGGAAATGGAGAGAAATATGTCAGCACCTGTTGTTTTATTTACTAATATTAATAGCGCTATAATAAAAAAATTTAGTTCAATATGAAGAAGACAAATTTGGTGACTTTATCGATACGATCAATGCGAAATTGAATTTCGTGGAATTGGAGTTTCGCAAAAGTCATGATGAGGATACCGGAGAGGAGGTTTTGGCGTTGGTATGATGTGAATGGATAGGATAAAAATAGCACGCACGCCGGTATAAACAATTCAATTTTTAATTTTATTATTAATTGAATAATTGGCACAATTTGCGAATAGGTAAACACAAGTGATGACGAAATCGCCAAATTGGCAACAGATTATACACCTCTCGAGATTTCTTATTTTAGAGCTTTGGTAACTTATTTTATGTTTGTTACTTTTTTTGATATTTTATTTCTCAAGAGAGAAACAAGCATTACTACAAATCTGTATTCGCTCTCACTCTATACAGATTGAAATTATCATCAATGCTGATGACGAAGCGTTCTCTGTATCAGGAACCACCGCCATAAAAGAAAGTTCGAAACTCAAACCTCCCATAACTAGAATGGCGGCAGAAAAGGTTCTGAAAAGATTTGTGGATGATAAGTGGCTTGTGAAGACTTCGTACATATGAGAATACTATAAATTTTGATTTTTATTTGTAGTTATATTATTGTATTATTGTCTTGATTAATATTTATTATTTATCCCACGATATATAACTCAGAGCTGGAAGGTTTGCGCTAACTCAACGCACAATATTGGAACTACAGAATTATCTAAAAGATCAATACGACGAGGCGATACATGAGTGTACACTTTGTTATGATATTGTGACAAAGGTTTTTTCCTATTGTCATTCTTATCGCTTAGTTGCAATTATTATGAAATTATATAATAAATTATAATAATTGATAAAGGGGCAACGATGCAGCGTAGAAAAATGCAGCACGCGTCTACACCATCATTGCGCTCGAAGAATGTTTCAAACGAAACCACAATCCGAAAGAAAGTGTCCAACCTGTTCAGCAATCTGGCGAGAGACGATGGTGACTGGTGAAGAGGCAGTGTTGGTTAATTCGCGTCGTAATAATGAAACTGTGGTGCATTATCGGAAGGAGAAAAACAGTCATGAAGAATATGAAGAAGAAGAAGATCTGTAATTTGATTCAGGCCTTTAGAATTTACAGGAAACTTGTATTTTTAGTAAACCTACATATACGCACGAATACGTGTAAATTCCATGATAGAGAATAATTATATATAAATTTATGACTAAATACAGTTAGTTAATTAGCGAACAGGCCGACTAGAGTTCATAAAGTTCGGTTCAAGATCGGGTTAGGTTGAGCTCAGGTCCAAGACTTTTACAACTATATTATTTGAATCATTATATATTTCAATATGAAAGCTATTGTATCAGGGATAACAGTCTTTTAACAGGGTTATCACATGACATTAGTCATGTGGTTTTTAAGAGGTAAACCAATCAAATCGCATGACATAAATCTTTAATAATATGGTTAGGATTACATTGATATTGCGATATTGATAAAAGGGAGATAATGTATCAAGAGGGTAAGTTTGAATTTCACGTGTGATTGATTATCGTAAATAACATTGAAACGACCATAGTCTAACAAAAAAAGAAAAAATTGAAAACTGAAAACAATGAAATGAAAGAAGTAAAACTACCAAGGAAAATATAAGAGTAAATATCAATATAACTGTTACTTATATTCGTGTGCTTCAAGGAAACGCAAGTGCTGGAAAGATTAGATCATTCTAATATAATAAAATTTATGATTAGTTCGAGTCGAGAAATAAATTTTACCTTGAATTTGAACTGTATCCTTTTTTCGATTTATTATTTCATTTATTTCGTATGCGTGATCGCGGAAAATTTACTGAAACCGATGCTGAAGGAGTATAATAAAAATCACATGAAATTGCTCTTCAACCAAATATTCTTTCCCGTCGAATAAAACATCTGTTCAATTACAGCATACGCTAAACACGACGTTCAAAATATTCTTCGCGTGATTTTGGAACAACAAAAAAACGAAGCTTGATCAGTTACGGGGTGCTGGATATAAATGATGACCGGATCACGTTAAATAAAAATAGTTTCTGGGATATACACTTTCGAGTATTTTAACTTAAAAAATTGAAATTAATTTATTTTATTTAATAGCCAGAAACTAAAATTAAAAAGCTGGTAATAACTTCAGATGAATATAATGTAAATAGGGTAACTAGGAGTGGAAAGTAGTCCTCAGCTAACAAAAAAAATGAGGGTTTTATTATAGTCCTGAATTATATCAGATTTTCGTTATAATTATGAGTCATTCAATTATATGGAAATATAAGACAACTATTATTTCGCATATTAATGCAGCGAGTCATAAAAAATTTAAAGAAAATAAAAATAATGTTAAATTCGACATTTAATAATGTATCTGTGTCACTTTTACTTAAAATATTGAATATGATGTATTCCCAATAATAATAAATAACAAAAAAAATAAACCAATATTTGCAGGTCGCTAATTTAAGATTACATGATTTTGGTTTAATTATGGCTTAATGTTTTTGACATGCTTAGGGGTAAACTAACATATTTGAGAGCACAGAACTGTATTATAAATCCTTCTACAAAAAAGATTCTTTAATTATAGAAAAATTTTTTACAGAAGGCACTCACGAATTACTCTTCCGAGGAGTGAGGTATTCCGAAGGAGCACATTCTTGGAGAGCGAAGGAAAAGACAGGATAGTGTCACATAAAAGAATTGAATGAACACATTAGATATACTCTCTTCAAATGCACATCCTAGTTTATAAGACTCATAAAATTTGCTCTCTCAATGCGCATTCTCTTTAAATGCACATTTGACAAATTAGTTCTATGGTCCCGAGAGGTGTGCATTTAGGGAGAGTTGACTGTACTTGTGTAAAATTGGTGACATAATAAGAAAAGTAGAAAAGTATATATGATTCGATTATAATTGTTGCCATAGTTACAATTGTTAATTATTGAAGTTCACATCATCATTGTTGAAAGGAGACTGTTGAAGAGACTGTTGTCTAAATCATCATTGTTGAAGAGACTGTTGAAGAGACTGTCTAAATCATCATTGTTAAGCAGGCTAGTGAAATCAATATCAGCGTTATTATTGAGTTGATTTTGATTGTTCGTATTGTTGTCACCCATAGACAAATCATTTGATTCATTTCTATTACTTTCTATATCATCACTGTTATTATTGCCATTATTATTTATGTTGTTTGTATTGTTTTCACCCATAAACAAATCATCCGCGAAAGATAGATCTGGTGCAAAACCAGATTCATTTCTATTGTTTTTAAAAAGCCCCGAAATTATTTGATCTTTGTCTGTTAAGATTCTTTCCGTCGTTTTTTTACAATCTTTAACATAGTTATCAAACCTCTCGTAAGATTCGAATAAATTTTCGTAATTGTCTTTTTCAATCTCTATTTTTTGTTTGAGATCCGGCAATTCTTCGTCAAGATTTGATATTATTTTTTCTAACTCCCTGCCTTGAGCTCTTTGGACCTTGGCTGGATAATAAAAAAATATTAGAATTATATTGAAAATTAAATTGACAACGAAGAATAGCATACTTTTTATGGCTTTGATATCGATTTGATTTTGATTGTAATTGCTATGAATGCTGTTGTTGATGAAATTATTATTGTCAGCTTCATCATCGATAGAAGGATCATCACTATAATTTATAACACATCCAGGCATTATAAGACCATTTGAAGAAATTATATAATCTTTGATAGTGGAGGCTTCATTCGTTCTTTTTTCATAATCTCTAAAATATTTTTCGTTCATCTTCCTAGTTTCGAGTAAATGTTTGTATTTATTATCTAAAACTTCTAAATTTCGTTTGAGATCCGACCATTCATTGCAAAGACTTGATGCTTTTGCTCTTAATTCCTTTGCTCGATTTCTTTGTTTTCTACCTAATAAGAAAAATATTAGAATATTAGATAAGTTATTCATTGAATTGAACGTATAAAACATATGAGGAAAAAACAGCGTACGTTGTATGGCATTATCATTTTCAGACAATGTCTTTCTTTTTCTAACATTCGTCGATGATGTTGATGATGTTGTCATAATACAAAATTTAATTTATAAAGATTTTTACGAAAAAATATTTATATATTGAGAGCACTACTTTTCTTCTGTCACTCTATCTTTTTTATTATTTTCTTGTTATTTTTTTTTTGTCCTTTATATGTCGCTTTCTATCTGTGCTTCCTGTGTGATGCGATACAGCATGATTGACGTCAGGAATACACAACATTTCAATGCCGGATTTATAATTCCCGTGATTAACACACATGATTAATCGTTTTTGTCGATCTGTGCTACGCAATTCAGCAAGATTTGCACTAAAATGGAGTAAAGAATGAAGAAAATTAGCACTCATATTCATAAAAAGAAGGAAAAAGAAACAAGCGAAACTAACTTGTATTTATTAAAAAGACGAAAAGAATTTTTGCGAAATTAGTGACGCCTGACTTGTATTTATTAGAAAGACGAAAAGAATTTTTGAGAAATTAGTGACGCCTGACTTGTATTTATTAAAAAGACGAAAATTTTTGCGAAATTAGTGACGCCTGACTTGTATTTATTAAAAAGAAGAAAATTTTTGCGAAATTAGTGACGCCTGACTTGTATTTATTAAAAAGAAGAAAAAACTTTAGCTAAATTAGCAACACCTAACTTATATCTATTAAAAAGAAGAAAAAACTTTTGTTAAATTAGCAACACCTAACTTATATTTATTAAAAAAAAGAAAAAAAGAAACTTTTGCAAAATTAGCGATGCCCAACTTGTATTTATTAAAAAGAAGAGATTTTTTGTCAATAAAAAAAAAGAAAATAGTAAAAAAAAATAATAATAGAAAATTGAAAGAAAATGAATAAACACAGAGAACGATGCTTTTTTATTTATTTGTCCAGGCTATTTTTCAACTGCTGTAAACCTCATAGACGTGACTTTCGTATGATTGGCTGATGCAAATCAATTGCCTGGGTAACTTATTTATATTTGTTTAAAGTACTTTTTGAGAATGCAACGTTTCACTAACTAAAAACACTGATCTTAATTATCTTTCACTTCGCAAGACGTTAGTATTCACTATTTAAAATAATCAAAAAATAATCAAAAAACTTAGGGTACTTCACTTAGAAGCAAAAATATTACCGGCCAATGCTACTAAATCATGCGTCGCTGCAATTTGTCGAGGAAAGTCAACTCAATGGCGAAAGGTAACTGAAAATGTTCTTTCTAGAGGTCAAGCTAACAATACATTACCAAGCTATGTTAAAATAGATGACGTAATTTGTATGAACTATTATAATAACAGTTCCGTTGAATTTCACAAGCACGGGTTTGAGGAAACTAATGAAGCCGAAAATACTAATGACTTTTTCTTCCAAAGCAACAGAGGTGATTATGAGAAAGAGAAAAACCAATGATATATTCTTTTGATGAATTCTGGATGATTATGGAGGGGGAGAATGCAAGATTAAAATCTTTCTTTGATGAATTATATCTTTCATCTAACCCTTCTTCAAAAAATAAAGATTCAACAAGCATGAGCAAAAAAGCAGTGTCTATTTGTGTGCTACTTTGTGGAATAATGACAATCTCTCGCACGATTACTCGGTATAAAGCAACTATATCCGAGAAACATGCTAAAACTGTCAATTCTGTACTTTTTGAATACATAGAAAGAGTGTTAGTATTTAAATATCGATGATTTTTCACAGTATTCGAATATCAAATACAACTATAACATAAACTGCTATACATTTGGCAACAATTTTGATGAATCCAATTACAGCACAATGTGTGATTCCGAAGGCAAATGTTCATAACCCTGCATTGGTTGATGCTGAATTAATTAAAATAAACATAGAAAACAGGTTCATGAAACTTTATGGTCTTTCATACAATTAGCGTTGGAGGTTTTATGTAGTTGATGATGATACAAAATTGGAAGAACTGACCGTCTACAGTTATGATATTAGATTGAAAGAGAAGGATACTATCCTTATAAATTTACCAGAAAATAACCTTCATTCTTTAGATACATATCTTGAAGCTATTAATACTATTTTTAATGTTCCGTCTATGCAAAAATATATCCAGAAAGGATATGTCATCCCCATTGTCACTGATTGGCCTGGACAAATCTATATTAGAAAAGCAATTTTACGTTATCTAGTCATCATAATTTACTGAATATTACTGATACAATATTGTGATCCTCTTCACGTTTCGCTGAACAGTCGAGAGCTAGTATTCCTTTAATACCAGCCTTTTTTTTGATAATGTACACATACATCTTTGGGGAACGGACAATTCTCATACAAAAGCCCAAGCCATGATACATCAACCTTCTTCTGGAAATTTCTCGCTATACTTGGCAGGAGGTTTCTATGACCGTTAAAACAAAATTCATATCTTTGTGCAAAGATGCTGAATATCTTGCACTTAAAGATCTTGATTCCATTCATGTTAGATGTTTATGCTATTTTTTTCGATCTGGGGATTTTAATGCTTATTTAAAATCTTGTGTTTATGTTTGGACAATATTTCTTAGATTTCACCGCAAGAACTATATAAGACACTGCTGATATTTCTTTCTGACATCTTCTATTAGAAATTAAACAATCACTTGATACTGGAGGCTATTAAGGCTGAACTTCTGAAGTTCTCAGACTCGCCCGTAGAGATATTCCACAGTTTTTATATAGGAGTACGCAGAAACACACTATCATTAAATATGATTATTATATTAATCAATTGCGTCTGGATGGCAACAGAAAATTTCACATACACATCTACATGGACTGCATATGAATATTCAGCGTGAGACATTGCAATCCCTATTGAAGTTCTAACTTGTGGTCACACATACCATAAGTTCTGCTATAACAGTAATGGATTTAAATACTTATATTGCCTCTCATTACGAACTGGCATTAATGAACATGAACCGGTGAAATATACGACATCTGCATTAGAGAATACATTAGAAGAATTTCGATGGCAGTAGAATATTTAACAGATAACTTGGTTTAGAATGCGAACAATCTGATTGAGAATTGAGTTTTAGTTTATACTAAATACTTTATTTCAATTTCAGTCACGCCACCTTTATTACATATATATTTTTAAAAGGCAAAACTCTTCAATAAAATGTATATTATATGAATGTGTCGGGTAAATCTTATAAGTTTATTTAAGCAGTTTTATTGTGTCACTTGATACAAAGGGAGTCTAAAGTCTTTCTATAAAATGAGTAGTGTTATTTAATAATGTGGGTTAATTCAATCTAACAGAAGAACGAAAATTTGTACTTTAATGCGATTTGTAATTAATTCTTAAACGACATAAATTAGCCAATCATATGAAAGTCCTCATAACGAAACCTGGATAAAACGAATTTTTTTTAATATAAAACGAATTTTTTTTAATATAATTTTCTACCTGAATATAACGAAAACCTGGTTATACCGAAAAAATAGGTGGAACGGACCACTTCGTTATATCCAGGTTCACTGTGTACTTCAAATTTTCCATTTTAAAACTTATGGCATTTAAAACCTATGGCATTTCCATTTTAACAAATTTTCCATTTAACTCTTATAGAATTGCCATAGAATATGTAACCTTTGTCAACCACCAATAAGCCACAAATCTTTTGATCATCCCGACAAAACAAATCAGCGAAATATTAACCCAATCCGCCGACCATAAAATCTGACACAAGAAATAAAAAAGTGAAAGTGAATACATATTCTCCCGGAAATAAGATCCACCAGAGAATAAGCGCCACTCCCAGTTTAGACCAAAAAGTATGAAAATTAAGAATAAGCGCCACTATAAATAAGCACCACCTAAGATTAATACCTAATAAAGCAATAACGGTAATTTTTCTTGAGCCAGGGTGAGAAGTTCCTTCGTTTGCAGTCGATATCTGTATCTCTGATTTTCCGTTATAAATTCGTTTGTGATATTTGAAGCATCCAGAGCATTTAAACAAGACCGGCATTTACTACAAACATGAGTATTCGATTTCCTCTTTCGAGATCTTTATTACATTTAAAACGTACAAATTTATACAGATGCCCAAAGAATAAACGTGATTGATGCTTATCCCTGGTAGATAATGTAGGGAACTAAGCACCATCCCCTATTTTGGAGTTCAAAAACCGTCAGTTCTGTCTTGAAAAAATGTCAGAAAGACAAAATTACATATAATCTTGATCCTGAAGACTAATCCTTACCCTTTACCCTGACCTTATAAATCATTGACCGTGATAATGCTATAACGATCATTAATAAATTTCTTTGATAATTGTGTGACAAAAAAACTTAACTATTTGCCGATCACATTAGACAATAAATAAACATCTCCAATTTTAGCTTAATCTGCCATTTTTTACTACACTTGTTAAATAATAATCTTCATAAGTAAACTCTCGCAAAATTCGCTATATAATGTTGAAAAGCTCAAAAAAACTAGCACTTTAAAGCATAGAGATGGTAATGGTCATCCAAAGAAAATAATAATCAATATAGCAAAAAATCTGTCTTTAACTATGTCAATATTAATAGAAACTCGTAAACAGAATTATCCAAGTATTATCTTAATGATAATTGGAAAAAAATCCTATTTACTAATAAAATAGTATTTTAATTATTCTAAAATACAATTGAATACTAATATAAAGATAAATATCTAGTTTGTTATATATTGAAAGATCATAGAAAAATCTTTATTTTTGCATAAAGAGAAAGACAAGTTTATTTTGTTTCTGACATATAATAAATAATAAGTTTTATGTTAAAATTCTTGAAGATCATCTCAAAGAGATTAATAAAATACTTGGAAAGTAACATTTTTAGCAGATAACAATTCCAAGCATATCAGTTAGATAACTAAAGCATTTCTTGCTGATAATGTACCTGAAGTTATAGAGTGATCATCTTGTAATCCTGATCTTAACCCTATAGAAAATTTATGAATCATTGTTAAGAGTAAAATTGAGAAATGAATATCTAAAATTTTGGATATTTTAGAGAAAACCATTCTA